AAACAGTAGATAGTTTCATTTATAACATAACTACACAAAAAGCACTTTTACACTGTCTTACGTATTGAATAAATATTTCCATGGGGATATTTCTCCCCGAGTAATTCGTTTATTCCCCCCCCCCTTAAAAATGAAGTACCTTAGGCTTTTTTTCTGTTCTAAATAGCTAAAACGATCGATATCTACTTTTTAAATAGAATTTTTTATTACTCAAAACCTCGTTTTGATCAAAATCCCATCGTTTAGGGTTTTTTACTTGCGTTGTAATTCATTTTTATGCTTTAGAATGCTCATGAAATATTTCGATCGTCTCAGACTCTCATGAAAGCAGAAAAAAAAAAAGTGGTTACGTGTTTTTCATTCATTTTAACGTTATAAAATTTGGCTGGAATTGCTGCGAATAAATTGTTTTCTTCAATATTTTACCAAAGGAAGCACATATGCATTATTTTGGTTTCATTACATTTAGGATCGTAAATTTAAAAGGAATGGTTCGTAATTCTTATATCTTATAATACCACGTAAGCTAAATAAATGGTTAACGTGAATTCTTGATGGGATTTAAAAACTTTAATGCTGTTACTGTGAATGATCGAAATTGGTGGTTGCTAACTTCCATCGGTGAATGCTGTCAATCACATAGCTTTGGTAAATGTCCGAAATATATTCTAGGTCATGTTAAGTACCACTGTCCGGTATACATTTGCCCGGTATGCCCTTCATCAATATTTTTAGAGGTTCCGTGCCGCTGCTCGGTATGTCCTATATCAATGTTTTTTAAAGGCCTAGTGCCACTGCCCAGTATGCATTCAGCCTGTACTCCGAATACTGATGCTTCTCCTAATCTATCCTCAGCAGCTTTTAAAATATAGAATAAATATAATAATATCAACGGATATTTCAAATCTGTTATATCAAATCGGATATAACAACGGCGGAAGAATCTCCGTCTAGTAAATAGTGATTAGTGCGCGTTAAATCTGTCTGGTCACAAAGTCCTCTATGTTCTCATAACAAAATATACCTCAAGGGGTACTAAAGTTTAGATTGATCGTAACGATTTGTGCAATGAATGGATATATGAAGGGGTCCACACTATAAACGAGTATGACTTATGTGACAAAAGTCGAATTCTTGGCCCTAGATGGCGCCACTGGAAAACAAGAACAATCGCACCCGTTGCCTTAATGGCCTACTTCAGGAAATAAAGAGGATTAAAAACATATTTGTAAAATTTTCCCTCCCCGTCTTCACCCATTCGAGAGTTGAGTTCGACAGAGAGGATTTGCTTATGGTATTTAAAAGCGAAGAAGAAACAAAAACGATATCAAATTCAGTTGAATCATTATAGAAGCCAACTAAAAACATTAAAATCTGTTTGATTGCTTGAGTAAACTGAACGAAATTGAAGCGTAACTATAATTTTTATGTCTTCAATTTACAAAATCAATAATTTATAAATTTTTAAATATAAATAAAAAAATTTAAAACTATTTTCTTCGGATTTTAAATTTAGTGCAAATATAATTCCGATAATCTAACAGATTTTTCATGTAACTATAATTAAAAGACATCAAAAGGGCTATTGAAATAAACTAATCACTCTAAATCTGTTTTATATGAAGCAAATCAAATTTAATTGTTTTTCAATCAGTGAAAGGTTGTGTTAGCTTTTAATTTATCTATCCTTTAACGTTTTTTTATCATTTCAATCATCCATCATTTAATATTATTTTATCATTTTAACTGTTGATTATTTATCGCTATTTTATAATTTCAATTATATATTATTTATTGTCATTTTATCCTTTCAATTATTTGTCATTTAACGCCATTTTATTATCTTAGTTATCTATCGTTCAAAGTTATTTCATCATTCATTATCTGCAGATTAATCGAAAGACGAATCTAAAATTAACTATTCTTTTTAAAAGGTTGTTTTTTTAAACTGTTTATGTCATCCTAAAACAAAACTGACATTCCATTTTGTTATTGCTCCGTACATAAAAAAAAAAACGGCTGAAAATTTTTAACATAAAAGAACTATTAAAGTATGCACTACAACAAGAAAAGAAAAAAAAGAAACAATTTTTAAATGATCGTGCGTTTTTTTGAAAAAGAAGTATATATAGGCTAGCTATTTTTACATCAATGGGCATATGTTTCACTCGAAATATTTTCTCCCTGAACTTTGAAATAATTTTCGTGGCAAATGTTCTCAGTACAGTTTCAAGTCATTTCTTTCCATACTAAATTGTGACATCGGATTATAAACATCTCATTTACTTTTACTGCAGGGAAATTGTATTGAAAGTATTTCAAACTGCTTTTCTGAATTCAATAGTGCATTGCAATATTTGGTACTGTTAGCTTAATGTAGAAACAGGGTTTTTCCGAAAACTTAAAGATATCATCTGTACTGTTTATGAATTTTTCATAGAATTACTTCTCTCATAACTCCTTGAAAATATGAAATTGTTTGAAAAAGAGTTCTATTTCATAGATAACATTAAGCTTCGACAATTGGGTACTTGCACGTCAAGAAGAAGACGATCACTGATACTCAGGCACGTGACCTATGGTTTCTGCGCCAGATGATCGCTCATAAGCAAAATGGCGTGTTTAAGTTGAGCTCCTCATAAGTTAGAATGCTAATTAACGAGAAGTTAATTAACATTCTTTCCTGAAGTTAATTAAATACAAAGGCGTATCGCACATCGAATTTGTTGAAATACAATTATTTCTCTTCAACGTCTGTTACTTTACTTGGATTTATTATTTGTCTATGTATTCTATTTTAACTATGTTATATTTTTGTTTTTGAACCAGACAATTTCGATGCATAATTAGTTTGCTTATGTTCTAAATGGATTCATGCTTGTCTTTGTGTTAAGTAAGAAATATATAGAGAAAGAATTGAAATCTTTGTGAAAGAATGTAGAATGTGTCACTTAAGAAAAATGATTCTTGACGGAATATAAAGAAAAATGATTCCGAGTAAGAAAAATGATTCTTACTCGGAATATAATGGAAAAAACAGTTGCAAGCATAAACAAATACCACGTTTCAACAACCAATTAGGATCGAGATACCCATACTACGTCACTTGCCACTTGCATTGCGTCATGAATTGGTCGAGAAATACTACAAAATTGCATTAAGTATTGCAGACAAGTATTTCAGCTATACTGAACCGGAGATAAATTATATATTTAACTTTTTCGATTATTTTAGAGGGAATAATATCACAATTAAAATTTGATTTAATCAAAACAATGAAAAAGATGAATTTTTAGAAAAAAATTAGTACGCTTTGTCCTTTGCTCCTTCCACTTTCCAACTCCCAAAGACAACTCCCAACTTCAAAGAATTGATAGTGCAAATTGATGTTACGTACGTGTAAACGATTATAACGAGATGACATATTTGCGAACTATACTGTTTTCGAAACGGAATTGTCCAATTATGTTAGGAACGAAAATTTTACGTAATTTTTTTAAACCTTTTCATTATATTTCTTACATTGTCTACCAAAGTTTACTTTTCGCCGTGTTTTATTTACCTATTTATTGTAATTGACTCTTTTTTATATACTGGTTTACCTACGTATGTATAGTATTTGATACATTTTTATACTGATTCTTTTTGTACTGATCCATAATTAGACAGATTGTATACTTTTGAATAGTCTTTGACACATTTTTTACTAAGTTTTATCTAACGATGGATTGTATTTCAAAATTTCTTTACACTGTTTTGTCTACCGATGGATTGTATTTAGCACGTTTCTTTACACTGTTTTGTGTTTCAATGAATTGTATTATACACGTTTCTTTATATTGCTTTGTCTACTGGTTGATTGCATTTGAAAGCATCTTTACACTGTTTTGTTTACCGATGGACTGTATTTAACACGTTTCTTTACACTGTTTTGTATTTTAATGAATTGTATTATACACGTTTCTTTATATTGCTTTGTCTACTGGTTGATTACATTTGAAAGCATCTTTACACTGTTTTGTTTACCGATGGACTGTATTTAACACGTTTTCTTTTCACTGTTTTGTATACCAATGAGTTTCATTACACACAATATACGTAATATTGTATTGTTTTGTCTATTGGTTGATTACATTTGAAAGTTTCCTTACACTGTTTTGTTTACCGATGGACTGTTTTCAACACGTTTCTTTACACTGCTTTGTATACCAATGAGTTGTATTATGCACGTTTATTTATATTGTTTTGTCTATTTATTGATTGCATTTGAGAGTTTCTTTACAATGTTTTGATTACCGATGAACTGTATTTCGTTTTCTATTCACTGTTTTGTATACAAATAAGTTTCATTATACACAATATACGTTATATCGTTTTGTTTTGTCTACCGGTTGATTACATTTGAAAGTTTTTCTACAGTGTTTTGTTTATCGACGGGCTGTTTTTAACACTTTTCTTTACACTGTTTTATATACCAATGAGATGTATTATGCACGTTTCCTTATAATGTTTTGTCTATTTATTGATTGCAATTGAAAGTTCTTTACACTGTTTTGATTACCGATTGATTGTATTTAATACGTTTTATTTACACTGTTTTGTAGTTGTATTTGATTGTTTTGTCTACTGGTTGATCGTCCTTGAAAGTTTTTTTACACTCTTTTATTTGCCGATGGATTGTATTTAGCACATTTCGTTACACTGTTTTGTATTTTAATGAGTTGTATTATGTACGTTTCTTTATATTGCATTAGCTACTGGTTGATTGCATTTAAAAGTTACTTTACACTGTTTTTATTACCGATGGATTGCATTAAACACGTTTTTTTTCACTGTTTCGCATACCGATGATATGTATTATACAATTATCATCGCACTGTTTTTGATTCAGTTGGTTTCAATTGACACAGTATTTGACTCAGTTGGTTTCAAGCAGTAGGACTCAATAAACATGATGTCATTTTATTACTATTCTGAGTATAGAATTAAGGAAGACTTACCTTGAAACCATCGTAGGTCCATGAGCCGAACTTCATGAGACACGTCTGCTCGTCGAATGGAAAGTATTCGACGTCTATTTCGCAGGAGCTCTTGTAGATAGCAGGAGGTTTCCATTGGATAGTTCCCCTACTGTCCAGTTGAGCTTTAGTCTCTAAAGTTACCTCGAAGTTCCCGTCCGCACTACACAGCAAGAAATTTAGAGTTAATACCTATTACAAAATGTTTCACTAAAATTATTTGTTAAAATTATATTTTCAGATGTGTGGCATACCTCTAATATTGAAGACACCTTTTGAAATTGATTGATTTTTGCCAATTTCAGCATGATTGATTTTCAAATTTTACATGGCTTTTGTATGGCCATATTCACATTTTCTTAAAGAGACATATTCGATTATAATTTTGATATCAATATTCATGATGTTTGGGGGAAGAACTGCCACCTCAAATATTAAGTTTAAATGACGATTTCTTGAGCCATTTCTATTTTGTAATGGATTTGACAGCTCTTTCAATATTTACCTGATTTAACTCAAAATGTAACAGCATCTATGTAGTTAATTGATGTAGTTTCTGTTCAACATAATGGATTTTTTTAAAATCGCATATTTTGTTTATTTATCGCATTTTTTGTTCATTATCGCAGCATGTTCGTAAAAACCACTTTCTTTTAATGCAAATTAAATGAGTCCACAAAAGACATTAATAATGCAAATGATGATAAATTTTAAAGTGATACAAAGTTGAAGAGGAGTATTAGGGGGACCGGAAAGTAATGTCGTTTCGGAGCGTTAAATATTTGTTAGTCTCAAAAACCAATCATTTTTTTCTATTCATTTCGATTTCTTTTCGATCCGACATTGAAAGGTTGTTGCTAACGAGGGTGAATACATTATCGATTGAAAATAAAATCTCGATAACAAATATGAAATGCACCGAAACGACATTACTTTCCGTTCCCCCTAATATTTGCTTTTTTTTCTCGAAGTTTTTTATAAAACGACCTTATTATCCACCAAATGTGCATGGTTTCTGTGTCTGATTTCATTAGTTAATATATCATCTGTATACTTATTTAGCATTTTTGTCATCCCTCAAGAGAAATTAAATGCTATGCCTATTTTATTAAATATTATTTTAGCAAGCGCGTATTTAAAGCTACCATTTTTTTTCAAATGAGCACTTCAAACTAATTTCATTTTCTTACTAGACTGTAAAAAATTTTGGTGTATATTTGACACTTTTTTGGTGTGAAAAAATTTTTTATTCACAGAACTACGTTTATCGTGCAAAACATTATGTACGCATTTCCGACTATGTCCATTTCTTCAAAAACTAACTTTCAAGCTATGTCTATTTTCTTTAGAACTTATTTTGAGCAATGTTAATTTTTTCTAACAATTTTCTTAGTTATGTCTATATTCTTTAGTACTAATTTTGAGTCATGGCATTTATTCAAATACGCATTTTAAGCTATGTCTATTTTTTAGAATGCATTTTGAGCTATGGTAATTTTTTAAAACAATATCTTCACTATTTTCTTAAGAGCGTATTTTGAGCTACGACCATTTTTCAAACACGCATTTTTAAGCTATGTCTATTTTCCTTAGTACGCATTTTCAGTTATATTCATTTTTTTAAATACGCATTTTAAGCTAAGTCAATTTTTTTAAACATCAATGTTAAGCTATGTCTATTTTCTTTAGAATGAATTTAGAGCTACAGTAACGATTTTTTGGAATTACTGGTTTTAGAAATGTAATTCTTATTACCACACATTTAGTAAAAAAATTTTAAATAAGTAAATTTAACTGAATAAATAGTTTTTATGCTTTGCTCAGGTTTCATAATGAAAATGTACCAGATTTTACTGCAATTATCACATTTGTATATTGTATTGATATATTTCGCTTTAGCTATATGAATACAATATTAGAAAGCACTCTTTTTTGAGGATATAATCGTGTGAGCTGATGACAAAATTATATCTTTTCATTATTCCGTTTTAGGCTTTAAAAATGTTTTCAAAATTATTATTTTTAATTATTTTTCTTATCCTCTTTTCATAAATCTTTATTATATTTTTTTCATATTTTCTCAATATTTTTAACTTATGTATATACACATACATACATACGTTTTGAGAAGAAATGACAACCATCAGAATAGTATATCGCTTAAGTGATGCTGCGAGTAACTGTTATTATTTATTTAATGCCCACGGAATTTCTTATGTTGTAATTTAAATATATGTCTTAAAATATTTCTTGGTTTTTTTCTCTCTGAATAACGCCAGTTTTAATACTTGTAGGTAAGATCTTTTGCCAACAGGACCAATGTGAAAAATGTTATCGACTGTTACTACTTAAGGACATTATTTTTCAAGCTCCATTAACACAATATGGCTGTTTGAAGCATCACTTGAGTTTAAAACTACATCTGTATTTTCGTTTGAAAAGAGTAACTGCTTTATACTTGATGTCAATATATAAAATTTTAATATCCTTTTTCGCTAAATTCTCTTAAAACTAACTGAATATCTTTTTTTCGTTCATCAATGAACTAAAATAAGGATTCAATAAATCGGGTCTTAAATAACATTTGAACGTCATGCATACAAATGATACCATAGTTAAAAAAGTTGACTCGGTGATTTTACATTGTTAGATTACAGAAAACACGTTTTTAACCGGAATAAAGTTTAACTTCACTCAAGATCTTTCGGCCACGAAAAGGACGCTATAGATAGTGACCAATTCATGGTAGTAAAAATTTACCTCATTTGCTCAATTTTCACCATCACTTTTGCTCTCTGCATTACTTAATTTTTAATTATTTAATTCCTCTTAGTTTAAACCTTTAACGGGCCCTTTATTTCTAGTAAAGGTAAATTAAAGTATTTTTGAAATTGAAATTGTTTTAAGAACAGTAATTTATATAAAAAAGGAAAAACTCATTTAGTTTATAAAAATGCCATTTTTTTGGTGGTAAATATATTTAACATGACCTATTAAGAATTTACTGACTTTTATTTTTCTTTATTTATAAAATAAATTCCTTAAATGCTACAAACTTCAAAAGAAATTATATATTTTATAACTTTTATACGTTTTTAAAAAGTGACAAATGGTTACCAATTTTACTCAAACTAACTTCAAGAAAGCTGAAGTTATTGAGAAATGGAAACCTAAATTAAAAGTGGTAAAACGTGGTGGTAAGTATACTTACCACGGCCTTCAAAAGGGTTAATAGAATATTAATTTTATAGGAACGCATTTTAAAAGTAAAACTATGAATAAACTAAACACATGGTTTTAGGTAATTTCGAAATACTAATTTGGTGATGTAGTCTCATACGGCATTCACGTTGATCTTTGATCGCTCGCGAAATAACAAACAAGAAAAAAAAACGATTAACGACAAGCATAAGCAAGAGTTTAGAAAGGAAATTTTTACCAAAAGTTTTCGTTGTTTTTTTCTATTAGCTAACATTTATCCCATATAATTGACGCTTTGCATATTGCTTTCATCTTTTCATAAGTAATTGTCCTTTCCGGGGACATTACATTATCAATTTTATAAATATTATATACTTTTTCTTAGCCCTGCCACAAAGTATCCAGGTTAATTGGCACTTAATATTTGCTTCCATTTTTTTTCTAATAGTTATCAATTTCATTGCATTTACATTAGGAGCTGAATGAAAACGCGCTTCAATAGGTAATTCATCACTAAACAGTTTATCCCGGTGAATTGGCCCTTTATTCATAAATTCCGCTTTTTATTTATTTTTTCTCTCCGATGAATTTACAATATTAAGTTTTAATTTACATCAATAAACACGCTTTATTACGAAACTTATCTTTTTATATATAATTGATTTTTCAATCCTGTTACAAATTATACCTGTAAATTGGCACTTTAACCATAACTTCTATGTTTTTTAAAAATATATTTTCCTCTTTCCGATGAATTCACACAATTAAGTTTTAATTTGCATGAATAACACGTGCTTAAGAAACTTATCGTTAAATATTTTGAATTTTTAAAATCCTGTTACAAATTATCCCTGTGAATTGGCACTTTACCCACAACTTCAACATTTTTTTAAAGGTTCTTTTACCGGTGTCTTTACATTGCATCATTCATATACATTATTAAATTAGATCGTGATAGATATTTTACATCGTTGATGATACGAGGATAAATATATTGCATATATTGATTTTTGGTGGTATAAACATATGGGTACCAATGATTTTGAAAAACGGATTGGTTGATATTTACTTGTTATAGAGGACGATGTCAGGCCTCCATATATGATCAGATGGTACATGGAGCATGTCCACCCCTCCGTATTCTCTCGGATCCCATGTCAGTTTGTAATCGTTCCAATACTAGAAAAAAGGATGATTGAGTGAATTATACCATTATATTGAAAGAGTTTACTTAAAAACAACAATTTTTCCATTAAACAAGTTAGTAAATTATATACTATTGTATAAATAAATTTTCAGCATTGTTAATGAAGCCATCTCCGTTGTTCTATTAGTGTTTATATAAATGAAAGCCTATTGTCTAGTTTCATTGATACGTTTCTTAGCAACGGACAGGCAGTAGGTTAGTTAGGTTAAAATCAATTAGCCCATTTCAGGCCAAGCATATAAATTTTATAAAATATGGTATTATTTCCATTGCAATATGATTACTTTACATTCATTAAGCCGCAGAAAAAAATTCGTGAATAAAAAATTATATTTTATGTAAGAAATAAAATGCTGCGTATAGGCACCATTCACCAAATCAATAAACAAACCATTTAGGTGAACGCTTGTTTTTTTAATGAAATTTTTTTATTTATTTTTATTTACTGACTTATAACTTTAATCCATCATAAAAACATATGATGTATCTCAAAAGATTTGAAAAACATATGATATATCTCATATAAATTTTCAAAAAATTTCGTTTGTCAATAACCGTTTCAAGTTAAAAATCTTGAATAGTTTAAAATTTTCTCAACAGAAAGTGTTTATTCAAATTTAATTACTAATAATTTATGGATGTCTTCAGAATCCCTGAGAACAGCAGAAAAAAAAATTAGTGAAAATATACATCACAGTGTTAATAAAAAATATTTACTGAAATGGTACGTTTGCGAACCTGAGGACAAAAATGGAATTTTTCATTTTTTTTAAATGGGAAAGTGAGAAATGAGTTAAGGGATTTACTTTCCTTCTTAGATTTATTTATTTCATATTTCGATACAAGCTTTTATGCACGATGGATAATCGATACAATCGATACAAGCGAGGTAATCGATACAAGCTTTTTAATGCACGATTGCTAAACATCGAACTTGTTTTAGAGGAACAATGTAAACCATCCTTTTATGAGTAAAGTAAAAAATTATTTAAGAGATGATTGTTGTTTGAAAGAAAATTTTTAAAAGTTATTTTTTTACTTAAGTTCGGATCTTAACTTAAATGCAATGGTATCTTCAAAATACCTAACAGTTGAAATTTTGTGACTTGGTAATCTACAATTCGCAAATTGTAATGATATTTAGGAAATAATTTTTTTAAAATTTTTTTTTAAAATGTATGTTAATAACCTGGTTTGTAATATTTAGCCGAGCATGAAAATTGTCATTCATGTGACAATTTGTAGTTAAAATTTTAATATGCTAAGTTTGGCCATTGATAAAAGTTCACGGAAATCAGTCCACGTAACTTGCATTGGTTCTTTTTAATTTTTAGATAGCTCACGTAAAGATGTTCACGTGATTGTGTATCATTAACCATGGTGGCTCAAGGGATAGAACTTTCGCCTTCCTATGAGGTTAACTGGGTTCGAATACCAGCGATTGCTGGTCGATACGAATTCCCCATCCGAATTGCACCAACCACAGTGCTGACGTAACATATCCCCTTGCCATCAGATTGACTGTGGGAGGTTCTCGTGTTCTTCCTTTCCATGAAACGCAAATGCAGGTTAGTTCCATTAAAAAAGTCCTCCCCGAAGGCAATTTTCTTCTAATACTTGATCCTGGAGTTCCCTTGTCTTCTGGATAGGGTTCAAAATTACAAAGCCACGTAGTTGAACATAAGTAGTCGTAAACCCAAAAATTGGATCGGCTGTTCAACGACTGTTATAATATTATAATTATAATATATTCATAAAGGATTCTTACCTGTTCCACCCAAAGATTTGTTGTCATGATCTGATTCTTGAGGTTCTAAAAGAGAAATAAAGTACGTAATTAATCATTTATGAATTGTACTTGGTCACATTATTTAGTCAATGAAAAGCAAACTGAAATATTGTTTTTTTTAACATCCTTAATAATTTTTGTTTGTTTCTATGACCTGAAACACTATTAGTGTGCAAATGATCAGAGGAAAAAACATTATATATCAATCATAGCAGTGTTGTACAGATCTTTGATATCTTGATATGATCTTCTAATGGAAATCTTTTTAGTCTGAATCAATCATTTCGACCATAAATCTGGATGATCTATCCCTCATTGTTTATCGGAAATAGATCATTCATATTAAAATTCATTTGTTATTCTTGATATTCTGACTTATTCTGAAAAGTAATGTAAGTTGTACTTCACATCGAAGGAGATGAATATGTGGAATCTAAAATATTTTGATGAGCTTATTTATTATGAAAAATAAATCAAATGGCCCAGGAAAGATACAAAAACAGATATATAAAAACAGTGCATTGAAGAAATTTTGACCTAATGATAGATCTTATACTTAATGATGTTCGACTATTTAGAGTTTTTTGAACCATAATATCGTTTAAATTTGATTTAACGTTACAATGTTAAAGTGCACATTAACGTATTTCTCAAACTGGATACCATGATACTATGGTTCAATTTGAAAGAAGACGTGATTCAAATTTACACTTTAAAAAAAATTGAAGAAAATTTCTACCTTATTATGGTTCAATGATAAACCTATTTTTCTTAGATATTACAAATTTTATATGATTTGCTTACCTGAAAATGATTTTAAAAACAAAATAATTTATAATAATTTTGAATTTTTTTTGAATAATGATAAAAAAGTTTGAGATTTAAGGTGCATCCGATATCATACTTATGCAAAGTAAGAGCATAAGTACGCTATTCGCTATCATACTCATATAATTTAAATGTCAGAATTCAAAATTTGAACAAAATCAGTTAAATAATTAGTGAGAAATTCGATAAGGTTATATTTATTTATTTTATTTTGGGAAAATATTTTAACGTTTTTGCATAAATTTTTAATTTTGTCTTACAAAATTATTGAATTATCTTACAGTATTCGGGGTAAAAAGATTTTATATTATTTTAATTACGAAAAATAAGAAACAAAAAGCTATTTTATTAGCAATCTTTGTAAAAGTGGGCTTCATAATCGGGCGTTAAAACGTTTTCGTAAAATTTGTTCTAAAACGTGTCGATTCCAAAATTGATATTAAAAACGTTTTTCGAAGAATTTGTTTCTAGTTATTTAAATTCTTGATGCAAAAATTTTTTTGCACAATTCTTTTCAGATATATGTCAATTCTACTCTTGGCGCAAAAAAACTTTATTCATGCACTGTTCGTTACAGAAATATGCTGATTTTTCTTCACTTGATGGAATTTTTTTTTCGGAATCTCGTTTTAGAGACATCCCCATTCTTTCCTTGACGCAAAATAAAAAGCAGACCACCCTGAATAACTTTTGATCTAATGATCGGATCTCCACGTTCTTGGATTCACAGCATAATGGTTTAAGAGGGTGAACTCAAATATGCATAAATAATTTTGTGCATGGAATTATCTTTGGCCAAAAAATTTTATAATTGTGTGCAAAAATGTTTCAATTCGCTAAAAAAGTTCGCGAGATATGGCAAAATACACAAAAAGTAAACAATAAGGGATCCAAACGTTGGATTGCGCTCCTGATCAAGCTATGGGAACCATGTTTCCTAGATTACTGCTATCTTATATTGTGGGATCAGAAATCCAGATCCGTCAAAAAAAGATATGTTTATTCAGAAAAAGTATGTTTTTGTATCTGATTTCGTAACTTTAAATATCGTCTGCATTAATTATTAGCATATTTGAAGTGACCCTCTTAAACTATTGAGTCCTAAAATCTGAAGGTTCAATCATTAGATCAAAAGTTATTGAGGATGGTTCATTTTATTGGCGTACTGTACACTGAGAAAAAGAAGTATGATCAATACGACCAGAAAATGGCAAAATTTGTCATCTATCTTTTGTCTTTTAATCAAAATAATGTTTTTTTTATTACATTTTATTTATTTATTTTTGCTCGATATATGCACAGTACGGTAATTTTCACAAGAATTTTTTTCTCCGCCTAGGAAGGCTGGAATATTCCTTAAATGTTTATAATATCAAACACATATTATACTACTTAAGCTGCTTGGAAAACTTCGTAACAACTTATAAAAGAGTTTCAGTGCATCTCTTAAATCCTCAGAAATTAACTTATTGAGTTTGAAAAAAAAGCCATCAAAATGCGAAATCGACGCAATCTAAATTATTTATCTCACATAGACAATAATTGAAAATGAAAAGTTAGCTTTGTCAGATTTTTTTTTAAAACTCATCGAATGAAACAGCTTATGTAACAACCATTTGATGGATTCCGATATCTTCTTTATATTCTATTTGATCGTCTATTATCGTCTATTTGATATCTTCTTTTAGAGATAAATCAAATCGTTAAATATGATTAAAGAGATTATTAGTTTCAATTATTTCGATACGCTTCACAGAATTTACTTTATTGCTTTCATGCTCTTGATCAATGTCCTAACATAACTTCCATCTAAACAACTTTATATAAACTAGCTTTAGCGTTTCTATCTGGAGTTTAAATTTATCACTTAGTAAGAAAAAACAGCTGTTTGTGTAAAAAGAGTTAAAGGATTTGTGTGTCAGTATTTATCAATCTCTCACCTAGCTTAAAACTTATAATCTACAGGGTTATTTCTTTTATTTTCTAACCGTTGTTGAACAACCGACCCAATTTTAGATTTACGATTACTTTTGTTCAACTCCTAAGCCTTGTAATTTTGAACCCAATCGAGAAGTCAAGGAAACTCCTGTATCAAGTGTTGAAAGAAATCTGCCTTCGTAGAGGACTTTTTGAGGGAATTACCACGCATTTGCGTTATATGGGAAGGAAAACCACGAAAACCTCCCACAGTTAGCCCAGTGGTCAGGGAACTCTAAGCCATGATCCGTTTACCACTGAGGATATTTTACATCAGCCCTGTGATCGGTGCGAGCCATATGCGGAATTCGTATCGAACAGACATCGCTGGGATTCGAACCTGAGTACCTCATTCCAAGGCAAGCGCTCTACCCCCTGAACCACCGCTGCTCCTACAGGGTTATTGTAAAATAAGTAGACTCAAGTATAACCCTTTGGCGAGCATATTTTTTGGAAGAATAAAATTTTGCATTGAATTATTAAAAATTGTGCATTCAATAATTACATTAAAAACGATTACAGAGCCTTAACGGTTATGGTTGTTTTGACAAAATTTTAGCGTTTTCAAATGACAACTCTCATCAAAACGTTATCTTTACAATAGAAAATTTAAACGGGAGTTGGAGCTGTGCGGCGTGCAGGGATGCAAGTGACTCTAGACAGAGATGAAGAGGGAAAGATTAAGCATACAAATCGCTGTTTTTTGTTTGTTTGTTTCTTATATCTTCAGAATACATTCAGCTGAGCAGAATCTCTTTCACATCAAACATTCATAACTCTATTCTTTATCTCTACTTGGCCCGTTCTACTATCGGTCGTATTTTTTACTTGTCGTCAGCGTTGTTAGTTTTCTCTCTTTATCTCTGCCAACTCTGTGTTGAGATTTTTTTCCCTCTCAGAATCACAATTCAATGAAAATAAGTAGGTTTTTAGCTTTTTGAAATCATGAAATTTTGTTTCGTAACCGCAAATGTAGGAAGTAGACAAGGGCGCCGGCAGCAGGGTGCAAGGGGGTGCACTTGCACCCCCTGTTTTTTTTTTAAAAAAGCAAAGAGATACAGAAATAAAATTTTGTCATAAAATTTTTTTACTAAAAATATTTTTATTCGAAAACAAATAAGTAATTATTGATGCATAACAATTAAAAAATTGTTTAATCAAACAAGATTTGTAATTGTCTTGTTTGATGTCCAAATCTGTTTATAACTTTTTCAATGAATTCTGAGTCATCTTTGATTCTTTTCGTATGCACACTGACTATGCACAAACTACTTAATCTCTAGTGAGACATTGTAGTACCGATTCTATGTTTTGATGCGTCTCATTGTACTGACTTCTGACAACTGTAAAGCTTCATCAACACAATAAATACCAATGTTAGGCGTGCACAAACACGTTAGTATACGAAACTACTGTTTGTAGTTATTTGTGTTTCAAAGTCAGTAGCTATTCTAGCGCCATCAATACAGTTTCTTGTGGCAAAATTTGCAAGTACAAGAAACTTTTTTTTTAAATATCTTGTTAACAATGAAGAAATGTATCCTTAAAAAGATTAACAGATGAAAGTATATGGAATAACAGAACAAAATGTAATAACAAAATATTTTTTTTGGGGGGAGGGATAGTTAGTTAGAGGGTTGCACCCCCTTTTATATTATTCTACCGGCTCCCTTGGAATTAGATAATCGCTTAGTTTCTAAATTTTGAAGTTGTCTAACCTCGAAACGTGATACTCACAGTGAAAAACTGAAATTGAGTTGAAGCTGTATTTTTGACCTGAATAGTGGTGAAGCCAGGCATCGACGAAAAAAAAATTATGCATTACTCAAACTATTGTGCTTTCTCTTTCCTTTCCGTTATCTTAAAAGCACGTTCGGTACAGCTTGTTGGCTATTAGTTTTGGTTTATTACAAGCAAATAGATAATTTTGCTGACACTTTGTATTTTCGACACAATAACGCTCGAAACCAATAAAGTTAGAAATCAATAAGGTTTGAAACCAAAGTGGAGTGTCGCAATATTTATGCTACGTTTATGAAGAATAAGGGAAATTTCTTTTATCATGTTTTCAAGGAAATTGACAAATCTACGTTTTAGGGTGCAAATTAAAACATTTTGTAACGTTTCTGTTCCAAGTAAATTTTAAAAATATTATTAAGTTTTTAATTTTCTGTTTTTTATGCATATCGTTGTAAGGAATATTAGAGATATTCTGCATC